TCGACATCGAGGACCTGTCATGTCTGTTCTTCGATTGCATCAATGTTCTGTGGTGTTGATATAGAATCTGACAGGTTATAGTGCCCCCAACCTACAGCAAGGAGAGCATGCGGACTAAACTACTTGAAATCTAAACCCCCACGATGGCTGCAGCAGAATCCGAGGTCCGCGCGTGCTAGTCCCGAGGAAATGCGCTGCCCGGCTGCAAATCAGAGTCTTGGTCCATTTTGGTCCGTTTTTGGGTTTTAAATGGTTTTAGGGCTTAGGGGTGTCAGGGATTTCGGGCCTTCTTTGCCTCAGGGTTTAGGGTTTAAGTTTTTGGGGGTTGGGGGTCTAGAGCTTTCAAGCTTTTGCGGCTTTGGGGTGTAGGGTTTAGGGCTTGCGGGCCGAGGGGTGCAGGATTTAAGGCTTTAGGGGCTCAGGGTGTTGTGTCCTATGGAAACTGCTAGTCTGACAGTCAGGCTGAGATGGTTGGTTTTGTGGTCGGATGTTGGTGTTTATAAGATGCGGTTCGTTTTTTGTTCGTGTAACTTGCTTTCTGTCTTCAACTTTATGTGGTGTAGAAATGAATATGGTTTAAATAATGAACTGGGGTTGAGAGAACTTAGATGGGCCTTGACCCAAAAAATCGCTGCTATCCCAAGGAGCTGGCCAAAGCATCTAGTTTATGTGTGCCATGACCCTGAACACTAAGCACCGCAGAAAATCCTGCACTCGACATGGGTACGCAACCTTACCTAAGACTCATGAAGAAGCCTTCTAAACATGTCCAGAATAGGGTTCGGGTTTAGGAACACAAGACTTACTATTTGGAAGGCTACGGACTAAGGTTGTGGGGTTTAGTGACGTAGGGATTGCAGAGACAAAGGATGCTTAGCCTTACCTAGAGTAGCTCATGTCCCTCCGAAGCCGGCCATGGCACGACAGCAGTGAGCAAAGAATACAACAAGATGCAGGTTCTCGAAAACCCGTTTCAGAAAAATCTCATAAACACTTCTCGCCAGGATTCGGGTCGCCACATACTCGTTAAAATTGCCAATAACATGCAATTATCAAACATAGCAACAATACAAATAATATCAATGATAACAACAACAAAAACAGTTGTTGTTAAGGATAGCGATGATGATTATAACAAGCCTTATAATTATACCTCTATTATATTTAGGAACCCTAAACCCTAAATCCGTAAAGGAGTCTCAGCCAAGCACATCCACGGCAACGTGTGACTGGCTAAGGCCTGTGAGGACAAGTCCAGGAGTCCAGGAATCCAAACATGTGGGTTTAGGGTTTAGGGGGTTAGTGTTTATATATGGCGTTTATAGGGTTTACAGGGATTATAAGGTTTATAGGGTTTAGGGTTTAGGGTTTCAGCACTGACTCTCGGACAAGCCTTGGGGGGTTGTATGTGATACCATGTCTATAAGACTGAATCCCAGAAATTTGTTTACTAATTGATCGATCCAGCTAGAGCTTCCACGAATCCAAGGGAGCTCCCTGTTTCCAGAGCGGAAGGCCCCCTAAAACCTAAACCCTAAACCCTGTTTCTACTCGTGTGCTACCAACGCCGCAGAGGACTGGAGCATGCGCTGGTCTTGGGTTTTATAGGATTTATAAGGTTTAGGATTCAATAACCCTACACCATAAATCCTAAACCAGGGTCGGGAGAAGGACAGAGCTCCAAAGGGACATACCCTGCTTGCAACCGGCTCAGGGTTGAGGGGTTTAGGGTTTAGGGGTTTAGGGGCTTAAGGGTGTACATATCAAGTCGCCTGAGGCTTCAAGTAGTCAACTTTTGGAAGGACAGTAACTTAATGGGAATTGACAAGGCCCTGCACCTTTGCCCTTCAATAGACGTCGATCCGCCCGTTCTCCATGTCGTGGGCGCTTCTAGGAAGGACAGCTAAACCCTAAACCCTAAACCTTACGAAGGACAGCCCGGAATCCTGAATCAAACACCAAAAGGTTGACTCTAACACAAACGCTTCCTGCCTCCTGGCTGCGGCTGGGTGTCCTGAAGGTTTGAACGCGAAGTTTCCAGCATGTAAGGAAGCCTTCCCAAGCCTTCACAACTCATATCTTAAACCCTAATTGAACCCCCTTTTTCTGCATCCGGGCCTCCTCGTAAACCCTCAACTCCTAAATTCCCAAACCCCTGAACCCTGAAACCCCATTTTGACTCAACCCTATAAGCCTTCGCAGCCCTTGACAATAGCTACAGCGGAGCGCAGCAAGCCGTAAAGTTTATGGTTCGCCTTCCGTCTCACAGGAGGCACCCATGATATTGTTGATGATAGAAATCCTGCATGACCTTAAGGACCCTAAGCTATGGGAATTATGGTGTATTCCTACTATGGGTAATGCAGGATCTATATCATCAACCGTACCGAAAGCATTGGGACATATGCCACATGATTACTGTTAGATCCTTTGCCCATGCCTGTTGAAAATTGCTCGGAGACGCTTTTCAAATCGGTATTGTCATAGGTTCAGGCAATTTTTAGAGATTATACAGCCGCTCATATGCCCCTATAGCACACCGTTACAAAACTTATACAGGACACTTGAAAGCAAACGTCTACTGAAACTCACCGTTGATTGATATTGACATGATTATGACTTTTATGCTTATAGTTGAAACTTGCTATGATTTTTTTAGCATTTGTTTTAGCATTATTTTTTGCTTCGTGATTAGTATTTACTCTCATTTTCATGATGAAGATTATTATTGTTATTATTATCACTGTCATTACTATGACGAAGATTCTTAGAATTACTATTGTGATCATTTGTTATGGTTATTCTGTTGATTAGTATTACTACGATCGTCATGTCTGCTATCATTGTTCTTTATGTCATTATGAACTTTTTCATTGCTGCTACTATGTTTATCCTTGCTCTTAACGCAGCTATAACATTTGCTGCTATTGCTATTACCTCAAAGTGGTTCTACGGATGATATTCGTCGTACACGTTCTACTGGACCAACTGACTAACAGTGACGATGCCGCCGGTATGCAATGCACAGCCTGCAACCCCCAACCATACCCTGCAACATAGTAGGCTATGGTACAGAATTTTCGTGTTATTACAATTATTACAACCAATAGACCCAATTCGTTTTGGGATCCACACGTACACCCCAAACTTCCGGTCTAGGCCGCTGCCCGAAGCACAACAGCAGGTTGGCGTTTTGGGGGCTCTCAACGCGCTCCGCTCTGTTGGACCCTCGCTGAGGTCAAAAACCTCAAAACTTCTTCAAAACGAAAGCTAAGCAAACAGGAACGACCTATCAGTGCCAGCAGACGCTTCATGACCTAAGTCCGGCCTGCAGCTGCACACATGGTCGTGGGTGCAAACCAGCTAAATAACAAATCCCTGAGGGCCCAGGTACTGTACCCGGTGTGGGTAGTTCTCTAAATCTTTTCAGGCCATACAGCATCCTTATAAAGATTGACAAAGGTTGCGGTAAGGGTAGTTCAGGGGACCCAGATACTTCAGGGGTAAAGAGGCCAGAATCAACTGAATACAATTTCGAACGAAGGCATGCTTGAATCCTGCCCTCCTCTCATTCAAGCTAGACTACCTGGGCCCTTAGGGGAACTATTCTGCACGAGGAGCTTCCACTGGATTTGCCAGGATTTGCCAGGAGCCGGGTCGTGCACTCGTGGCTCTTGAAAACATCGCATCCCAAGCCCTGGCCCTGCCACAACCGTTGTAGGGTTTAGGGTTTAGGAAGATTAAGGGTTGCCGGAATTCCATGATTCCGAAAGCTCTCATAACTGATTGATGAGCCCGGCAAGGGTTACATCGCCGAGACTGAACTGCGAACCCCAACCGTCATGTGTCTGGAGCTTCTCAGTCTGAAACAGACTCAGCGCGGAAAGCATCTGCCTCGGTAGCGTATAGGATGTACTTGAAGGTACTTACGCGAGTCTTGGTCAGAGGCCAGAGGCTATATACTTCCCAAACAACATCTTACACACCATGTGGTTCTTACGTTCAAAGCAAACAGAATCCGAATAACTGCTAAGTGCGCACGCGAAGCGCACCACGCATATTCTGCGCTCCCAGCGCGGTGTGCTGCATAGTTTGTACTCGTGTCCGAATTGCTTACACACGAGGTCTTCCGGTGCGCGATTCGGTGTAAACTCCAGTACATTGGCCTCATGTTTTCGTCGAAGTACAGACAGGGGGGAGGCATGTTGGTCACAGCCCTGTATCTATCCTGTATAAGGGAGAAGCATGCAGCGCGTGGTCCTCCATCCCGCCGGCACATGGGTGGAGGCATGTTGCTCCTGTCTCGAATCTGCCAGTACATCTAGGGAAGTCTTGTGGTCAAATTCCTGAATCCGGAATCCGGTCAATATCTGGGGGCAAGCAGTGAGCACGTTCGTGAATCCCACCCGTACATGGGGCGAAGCATTTTGGACGTGGTGTCCTGGGGGTGCTCAGTCTCCTCGCTGCCTTCTGGTTGTCTTCTCCTGATAATATATAGGGGCCTTAATAATTATAATAGGGTTTGGGGGGCCCCTTAATATGATTTTAGTATAATATACCCCAAAAGCTAGTCTAATTATTAAGGCCCCTATATTAGTCCTGGTCGTGCCGGTCCCTGGTAGTCCTGGTCGTCGTGGTGCTCCTGGTGTTCCCGGTGTTCCTGGTGTTCCGAGTGCTCGTACCGGTCGTCGTGGGTCATGGTCGTTTTTGGAAACCAAATACGACTCCAGGGCAGCCCTTAAAAAGGTTGGTTCGCTTTCGTGTGACTGCACAACCTACTTAGTTTCCAAAGATCCCGCAAGTAGCTTCTTAATGGGTGTCTGTCGTCGCTATGAACAATGCTTCAGGTGTTGCAATATTGGGTAGTGGCCATTACACACAAACCCGGCCCTGATTAAGCAGTGTGCCTCAGGCGTTTAGGTGCACAAACCGTTGGGTTTAGGGGTTTAGGTTTTCATGCGAAATTTCGATTAGTACCTCCTGAAGCAATGCCCAGGTGCACACAAAATACCACGAAGCAACCACGATGCAAGCCATAACGGCTGCAAACATCATTCCGCCTTGGATTGATGCCTGGGGCTTCAGCAGAACCTCAAGCAGCACCAAGCCGATGAGAACAATCCTGAGTGTCTCAACTTATCACCAAAACCCTAATCTAAATCTAAATATGACGGCCAAGGAAGGCGCAAGCACCCCAAACCCACTATTGCATAATTGAAGGAGCCAGTGTGAGCATAGTACTACCAAGTTTTCAGGCCCCTATTTCACGCCTAACACAGAGGAGGCCTCAGACAATCCGAAGCTTGTGCGCCCAAGCCGGGGAAATCCGAGTCCCGACACCATCAAACCCCGGGGATCGCGATACAATGTTTCCGAAAGACTACAGCAGTGCATCCACCTGTATACATACATATATATATATATACACATATAATTATATATATATACATATATATATATATGTACATATATGTACACACACACACCCAAAGCTCCCTAAACCCTTAAATCCCAAACCTCTCTTCAACCCCCGAACCCTTATTGGTTAGATGGATCGCCCGCACCAAAACCAAAACCCTGTTTGATGTGGGAGAGGAAGACAAAAAACGGAGGCAGGAGGCGGACAGATCAACAAAGACAGCGAGGTTTGGCTTCAGGCTTTATGGCCTAGGGCTTTAGGGTAGCAAGCCCCAACACCCCTATACCCTAAACCCTAAACCCTGAACCCTGCACCCTAAACCCTAAACCCTATAGAACCAACAAAAGCCTGGGGAGAGGGATCAATGCAGGGTGAGGGTGATCAGCAGACTTCCGTCGCCGAGATTTCGGGATCAAGTTCCGCCCTCCCCCTCTCACCGGTTTAGGGGTTCGCTTTGTGGTGACTTTAACTTCTGCGTCCAGGGTTTCGAGTCTAGAGAGGGTGGGTTTGCAAAAACATCTTCCTAATCCGATCCAAGAAGCGAGGGAAGACTCATGAGGTTGGCCGTGACGTAGACATCCAGTGCGAGATACTTGCTACACCGGTTGCGGAACAGCCAGCACAGCCCGACCCCCAGAATGAAAACAGTTGGTTCAAGAGCCAGCCACCATACCTTACTGTTCCAATAGCCCGGGCAAACTCAAGTATAGCAGAACCCTAAACCCTAAACGCTAGGGCTATCTATCGGGAGTAATTAGTAAGTGCAGTAATTGCCCCAAACGGGCTAAAGGTTGCTAACTCTACACAAAGATACATATAGGGACTATAAACTAAGATGAGTAGCCATTGCCCCAAAAGGTTAAAGATCAGTCATTACCTTGTGCCTTTAAAGCCCTCGTAAGAAGCCTTAACTGTCCTTAAAGAAGCCACCGTAGCAAGGACTGCAATCCTAAACCCTAAACCACTCAGTCTACCTCTAGCCCCAAACCACACAAAACACAAGGATTAGCATCCCCAAGTTACAAACTACAACTACGGAGGATGATATAAATCCTGCATTACCCATAATAAAGAATATGCCATAATTCCCATAGTTTAGGGTCCTTAAGGTAATGCAGGATTTATATCATCAACAGTATAACGGTGGGCTTTTTGGTCCCTGAGTAAGACGAACTATATTAAGACATGATTATCAGGAACTCTTAGTAGGTGGGCTATTACGTATTTACGGAAGATGCCTTAAATCATTAAAGGGATCTTACTATAGTGTTAAATAAATATTCCTTGGTTCAGAGATATTGGAAGATCTGGGGAGCAAGGTAGGCTTTTGGTTAAGTTTGTAAGATTGCCTAAGCCCTAAACCCTAGCCTAAACACCTAAACCCCTGAACCCTAAGCCCAAGATTCCAAGGCCCGCAATCCTGCCAACAGCCCCTCGGTGACACCGACGCGTCCATAGGCGACGTCCCAGACGGCCCGGTCCATGAAAAACCACAGGACACAACCTGGAATGCCGGGTTCAGGGTTGCGGGATAGGGTTTGAGGTTTAGGGCTCTGTTTAAGTGGCTTAGCTTAAGTTGGTCATGGAGATCTGGAGTGAACAATAAGACTAGCTACTTTGTTTATGATAGCTTGGAATAGGTTACTCAACAAGAACCCAGCAACTGGCGACGGCACAGAGCTGAAAGTACACAAACCGCACGTTGAAAATCTGCCGTAAGAGCGTCGCTCTCACTCGCCCGCGGACTTCCTCTTCAAACGTCTCGATGCTGCCGAACCAGCTAATAATGACTTCAGTCAGCACTTTTCCTGGTTCTGTGTTGGGGCCATAATAAAAATGATCATGTTTCATCCTATCAGGGTCTTATTACAACAAAAATGTAAAATAGTATCCAACAAGGACCCAGTTTCTGTCACACCTCATCGGCTGTCCTGTGTCAGTCTGAATGTGGTTGCATTCGCAGCAGGTGCAGCGAGTGTCCTCAACGCGGAAATTCTCCAGCTGCTTTTGGAGACTGTCGATACTCCGACAGAAAACTCGGATGAGGTGAGTAGAGATCACCAAGCAGAAAGACGCCACAATCAGGACAACTCCAAGAGTGCTCTGCCAGTTTTCGGCGTGGTCATCGGTGAAGTGTATGGAAAAGGCCAACGTGGCAACCAAAAGGCCAGCACTGATTGCCTGGGGTCTCGCATGGCCCCACAATAATCAGAGTAACGACTTTTTCTGTCAAAGAGCAGCAAAAACAGAAAGCCTCGCAACAACCGGCAAAAGGGCACTACTTTGGGGATCTAAATAGACAGCCTAGCATTGTAGAACCCACCGAATTCAAGGAACCCTTCAAGGAGCCCGAGTTGCCAAAAGGCAAGGTCCCAATATAATGGGCCGTATCAGCAGCTTCACTTTCTGGTTGGGGCCGCGGCTGTGCAGAAAGGCCGCAAGCTCAAAAACGCACCACAATCCTTAAGGTTCAAGGTCTAGGGCTCCATCCTCAAAGAAAGGCTGCAACAAAAAGGCTGCACACGCCACAGCGAGGATAATAGGGATCCAAGAACCCCCAGTCCCAAAACCTACTAGTTTAAGCCTCTCCCAGGGGTCATAGTATGCAAAGCAAAACGGATTACACTGATTACACTTGGCATCCCAACGGTTCAGATCTGATACGCATGCTAAGATAATGAAGCCCATGGATGAAGAGAGGGCGTTCATCCATCAGGATCTTAATGCTCAGGCCCAGTAGGAGAAGGAGATGAACTACGGTTGATGATATAAATCCTGCAGTACCAAAATAAGGAATATGCCATAAGTCTCATAGTTTACGGCCCTAAAGGTAACGCAGGATTCATAGCATCGACAGTAGTCAGTGGACCTCAACACTAGATTTTGTGGAACCATGCATCTTGCAAGTTACTGCTAGTGGGTTTCTCAGAACATACAGTCACCATCACCAGATTCCTGGTACCTTCAAGGGGTCCCTTGAGCCCTGCAGGTCCCTTTTAGAGGAACCCACGAAGGGGAGCCTCTTTCTATCGAACCCTGTGGGTCCCTATTATGGGGTTATGGGGTTATGGGGTTATAGGGTTATGGGGTTTTAGGGTTGTAGGGTTATAGGGCTATAGGGACCTATTATAGAACCCCACAGTACCCTGCAAGGGAGAAAAGTTGGAATCTAAGCCCCGCGGCCCTCCAGCGAGACTGGGTTCCCCCTTGTAGCCCCCTACTGAGGAGGCTGCCCTTCTTCCTACTGTGATAATTTAACATGGGAACCCAAAAGAACAATTGCAAAAAGATTGCGGAAGGGTGCTACCGGGGAACCTGGGAGATTGAGAAGACCTTTGCTAGACACACTTCCTAGGCAAACCGCAGATAAGGCCCGATACGACGGAACTTTGAAACTCTGATGCTGAAGCGGGTGTTTAGGGTTTAGGAATTTTGGGGGTTTATGGGGTAAACATTTGAAGCCCTGTAATCCCTGAACCCGCGCTCTGCTCAAGAGAGCCCTGCGTCGGCTGGCCCACGTTGCATCCCACACGACAAGCATCCCCTCCGATCGCTGCCTTGGAGCTGCTCCGGACTTTTGGCGTTTTGTTCCTATTTGTTACCCAGAGGACCCAATATCCCCTAATTAAGGAATATACCGGAAAACATAATATTAAGGCCCCAATAATTTAAGGTAAATTCCGTAATTAAGGGGTATTGAGTTCTCTAGGTAGCAAAGGTAGGGGGCGGCTCTAAGCAAGCTCTGCAGTCACACCGAACACAAGTAATCGCACACTTCCGAAAAGCAAAACCTGCATTTGCTACTGCCGCTTCGGGCTGATCCAACCGAATAGGGCCTCTAAAATCTACCTATAGTCTCCATTGTAGTTCCTTTTTGGGATCCTTAATATAGATTTGGTTAAACCAAAAAAAGGAACTACAATGGAGGCTATAGGTAAAACTCCATAAACACCCTAGAAAACTCAATGAAGTTGGGGATTTCGCCGACTGGGGTGCCTTTCTTGTTGGCTTTAGTACAAAAACAGCCGGGTGGAACACCTGACACCCGATAGCCTAAATCCGAAAGCCCGGCCCGAAACTATCCTCAAGCTACTTATCTCAAGTACCTTAGGGTTTAGGGTTTCTTTCCCGTTTAAGGTTTAGGGCTTAGGGTTATATCAAGTACCTTAGTGTTCAGGGTTATCTCAAGCACCTTAGGGTTTCGGGTTTAGTGCTTCCATCAGCCTGTTCCTGGGATCCTGGTGTCAAAAAAGAGCCACCGAAGAAAGGTTCGTCCAAACCCGGGAGCCCAAGCTGCGCTGTTTAGGGCTTAAGTTTAAGGCTTTGGTTGCTGAACTGTGTTGTAGTAATCCCTAAGGGTCCATGTACCTAAATAGTATATACTTAGGCCCTAAAGTAGTCCCTCTATAGGTACTTTGGGGCCAAAGTATATACTATTTGGGCACATGGACCCTTAGGTAATGTAACCTGACTATGAAACCTTGGCTCTTTATTACGGTTCCGTTTTTTGGATCCCAATCCCCAGGTTCCTGAATCAGGTTCCTCTATTGAAAGTCATAGTAGGACAGACCTTTCCCGCGTGAAGTGCCCCAAGACAGTAGCACCTGACTGCTGTGCTGTGTTTGTACCCATGCTTCCACTGTACACCGGGCACCGCAAATCCAGAAAGCCCTCTATCCCCGACCCGACTTCCAAGCCAACACTCCCGCTGAAGGTTCAGGCCCGAAACCTGCTTAATATAGGGGCCTGAATAATAAGAACAGGGTTTTGGGGTATATTATCCTATAACTATAAATAAGGAACCCGCAAAGATAGTATAGGAAATTATTTAGGCCCCTATATCAACGCCAACCCTAAGCCCTAAACATAGAGTTGTCGGCTTTCTCGCATCGCTTTAGCGCTTGAGGGTTCCCTTGATCTGACCCTAAGCCCCACATGCTCTACCGGCTCTACACTTAACATGGGGCTTCCGGATGCCCCTAAAACCTAAACCCGAAACCCTAAACCCCTAGACCCTAAACCACTAGACCCTAAACCCTAAACCACTAGACCCTAAACCCCTAAACTCTAAACCCAACGTCTGAACCTTGGAATGCTCTTCTTCAGCCGGGCTGCAGGATGGCGGGAAGGCTGACCAAAGCCATAGCCTTAAACTCTTCGTCAGCTTGGTCGATGCCTTCTTGGGATCGCTGTAATTAGGGTTTAGGGTTTAGGGGTTTAGGGGTTTGGGGTTTAGGGTTTAGGGTAATTAGGTCGGGGTTGTGGGCAACATTTTCGGGGTTTTGGGGTTTTGGATGGTCTTGGATTGCGGGCTACACTGAAGTGTAAATTCAAATATGTATGGGCCACTCGCGGAACAACTGGGAGGATTGAAAGGTTCAGGCTTGGGTGGAGCTTGGGGCTGGTGGCCCGGTTGTCTTGACCCTCTTTGTTCCTACTTGGCATAGGGTTCAGGGTTTAGGGCCAGTCTTTTTCTACTTGGGGCACACTTTTACAATCTGTGTTAAAAGATGTCGCCGAGGTATGCAACATGTGAGAGGTCTCTAGGCTGCCCCGTAAGAGGCTCGTCGAGTTCTTTACTTCAGTACAACCCTGGTCTGTACTGATGCACGTCTGTACTGGCATCGTAAATGTTCATCTCCAGATTGTGCGCGTCCGCGCACTCAGCTGCCT